TAGAACGGTCAATTCTGAGTGGTACACAACCATTTGTTTGCCAGAAGTCTTTGGCCAAATAAGGAAAAATAACTCAAGACGACGAATCATTCTTCACAATGACAATGCGAGCTCTCACACATCGGCTCAAACAACCGCCTATTTGACCAGTGAAAACATCGAATTAATGAGTCATCCACCGTACAGTCCTAATTTAGCACCCAATGACTTTTTTTTGTTCCCGAACATCAAGAATAAACTGTGTGGTCAACGATTTTCGACGCCAGAAGAAGCGGTTGATGCGTTTAAAACACATGTTTTGGAGGTATCACTTTCGAAGTGGCATGGATGCTATAATAAATGGTTTGAGCGAATGCAGAAGTATATTGATCATCATGGAGAATACTTTGAAAAACAATAAAGCCATTTTCAATGACAAATTACCGTGTTTTCCTTACTAGTCGCAAAACTTACGGAGCAGCCCTCGTATAATCTGTAAAAAAGAAAAGATTCTTATGAAGACATAATTAAGTAATGTCTATTAAACATATCTATTAAACTCAACATCTAATTTTAATTCAACATCTAATTTTAATTTATTTTGTCAATTATTAAATTTAGACAAATATGGGAGTGCATGATTACCTCTACATTGTGTATGTTCCCGTCGCTTATACGTAACGTCTCTGTGACTTGGAAGGTATCAAAATTAGTTTCTGACTCCGCAAATACGTACATGTCTCTTAACTGTTAACAGAATTGTTCATTTTATAGTACACCATATTTTAAGTTTGCAATATGCAAAAGCACAGCAAAGACTATTTACAAACATAATATTTATAGAAAAGATATAAAAAATTAATTAAATTATTATATATTACGGTTATATTTAATTCATGGGCACAATCTACGATGCGATTCAATGCTCCATTGAATTCTATGTGATCCAGACGAGGCAGATAGATGACCCTGGAGCCTAGAGTTTCCAGCCTGTCGATTATGGTTGGTGGATCATTTATACTTCTATCCAGCCTTTTCGCGATAATAATTTTGGGCACGTATTTATTATACTGGCCGCTGAATACATCAATCCCTGCGTTCTCCAAGTACTGTACCCAGCGATATATTCCATCACTCACAGTAACTGTGAGTACAGCTAATTTTGTAAGAAAAAAAAGTTATATTATTTTTTCCATCAATTTTTCTTTCATACAAACGTAGACGGAAAAGTAGATTTCCAGTTGTATGTAATTAAAAATAAAATATTTTTTGTTAATAAACTCTAGAGATGTTAATACGGAAAATACAAGATTTCAAGAAAATTTCATAGATCTAACACGATCTGTGCCATGTAAGCTACCGATGGTTCACGTATCATAGACTAGCCATATCAAATTAGTCCGGCATGGACCCAGGTAGAACACAAAATCATTTTGGTGTCAAGATAATATCATTTTAACATCAATGTCATGAAATTGTCATGCAAATAGTATCATTTGTCGTCAAAATGACATCACTTTTATATTATTTGACGTTATTTTGACTATTATATTGCGTTCTACTTGGAGAACGAATAAAAAAAAAGACAATTGTTAGTTTAGTTATCAAAATATCTAACACCGCGAGAAGTGAAAAAATATATATGCATGAAAAATGTTATAAGCACAAATAATACAATTGTAGTCTATTTACCTTTTTCCCAAATTTGAAACATTTTTTGCGATTCAATCAATATGGGTCGAGCCATCACAACTGCATAGTTGTGATATCTACGACTAAAAATAGTACACGGGGACCAATTATTCGGCTCATTACATTTCAACTGTTGCTCCATCGTGTAATTCAGTAAGACGTGTTTCACCACTGAAAAGTAATCAGAGCAAATTAAAAGAAAATTCAAAGAATATCAAGAAGTATATATCACATATTCGGACACCAGATACGCAAAATAATTAATTTTCTTCATATTATAATCATCCATATGGACCATATAAATCGAATTTTAATGTCCGAATGCTTTAAGTCCTAGAAGCCACCTTTATTTTATTGGCAAGAGAGCCCCTCTTGTCAATATAATAGTAAATAATACAAAATAAAAAACGATATTATCCCATTCTGGAAAATTTATAACTTTTACAAATAAAACGGACAAAACTTTGACTCTGTATTTTCTTACATCGACGCCTCCCATCAATAGAATTCTAACTCGAGCGACAGTTCAATATAGTCCTAACTCGAGCTTGCGTGCAATTTATTAATAATATATAATGACATTTTTTAAATAATAGCATATTTAATTAACAAATGTAGTCCTTACTTTTATTATTACTTTGCAGCAAATCCTGAAAAGAATCTTCAAAATAACGGAAGAAATAACGGAAATTGTAATGAATCGTTATTTCTTGAATAACGATAATGAATTGTTTCTAAAACATGTAAAGTGTTCGATTAGAAGTTATTTGTTAAAAATAATTTTCCAAATACTGAATGTATGATTATCCATTCGCTTGTTCCAAACTTTAGCTCCAAGTTCCAACGACAGCTAATATAATATAAAAATTTGTTTATACTTATCCGTCTAATCGAACGGATACTGGCCCTCTTCTTCCTCCTTTGTCAATGAAAATATTTTCATTTAATTCTACAGAATTTTACGTTAACCGCGAATCAGATATAAAATGAATAAGTAAAAACAGAATTTAAATAAATCTTAAAGTAAAACATGTTCGAAAACACTAAGACAAAGTTAATCTGAATGCGTATAATTCGTATTACTATTAAATTTTCCTCTCGATAGAAATTCTATAATGTTTACATATAAATAACATACGCATTACTATAGGTTTTAAAATTTCTAAGATTTCTAGGAAAGTTTCAAAATTTCTTTACAATATACGAAGTTAATGCGTCCCGAGTCTTTCCTTGAAATCACAATAGCTCACAATAGCTCAAATGAGATTTTAATGAGAATAATGCCGCAGGTAACATTTAGGCGAACAAAAACTTTAAGTATTTCTTCGAACTTAAATGTTTCCAGATGTCCTCACATTTTTATGTATGTCAATAAGAACTGTATCGACGGAAATAAACGATTTTAGCAAATCTAATTTTTATGAAAAATCTTTATTTAATTTCAGATCTTTACATTCTTATCACAACTAGAGTTGTGTCATATAATTAGTAATTTTAATTTTTTTCACGTAGAAGAATAAAATGGCAAATATAAATTATATCCCGCAAATATAAATTACTTATATATATAGTGTCCTAAAACCATCGGAATTGCTCTTAATGGTAGATTCCTTACAATATTTTAAGAAGAAAATTCTAATACAAAAATGTCGAGGTTATAATAGCTTTTAAACGGGAAGCGATTACATTTAACGAATGGCAGGGCTGAGATTTCGCGCCCTCAGGTACGGCAAAATGACAAATGCAAAAAATCCTATTAATGGCGTGCTCTTTTTATGATATTATTGTCATATAAATTTGCAATATGTTTTCGCTTCTCTATGTATTGTATATTAATACATTTTTTCACAAATAAAAGATGTAAAAACTAAAGTCATATCAAAAATAATTCAAGTAAAAATTTGCATATTTCAATTTGAGCTGTCAAAATCATCGATTAACATTACCGATTGAAGGTGTCCACGATACGCTGTGCGAGACAAATAAATTGTAATAGAATTAATAGCTGTTTTATTGTATTTTAGAACATTTTGGAATGTTTGTAACGAAATAAAAATTGCAATGGTTTTAATAAAAATCAATTTAAATAATAATTATAATTCAAACGTATTTAATAAACCTTAATTTAACACTTTAAAAATTAATACTTTTAATATATTTAATAAATTTTAATAACAACAAAACAGTTTAACAGATTAAATAACAAATTAAAATATTTTTTATAATAAATGTTCAAAATGTCCCCCATCGCATTCAATACACAATTGTGCGCGTCGCAGTAGACTGCTTGTTGCGTTTCTAATCATGTTTGGTGTCGTTGTGGCGATTGCTTCAACAATTTTGTCTCGTAATTCCTCGCGAGTATTAATTGGCTTTTTGTACACATATTTTTTAATATGACCCCATAAAAAATAATCTAGAGGCGTCAGATCGGGTGAGCGTCCCGGCCAACTTATAGGACCACCGCGTCCTAGCCATCTACCCGGAAATTTTTCACTCAAAGATTGGCGTACATATCTCGCATTATGTGGTGGTGCACCATCTTGTTGAAAAACAAATAAATATTGCCATGAAGTCTTATGGACATTTCAAACGGTCCAATCTGTAATTTAATATATTATAGATATTACATAGATATACATTGTTCTAAAACAAACCTTACATCCAAAATATTACATCATTTTTTTGTTACATAAACTATAATACAAATAACAAACAGAAAACTTACGATTAAATTATTTTATATATCAGCCCAAAAATTTATACTAAAACGGTGTTGATAGTTTTGAATTCGATATTCGTGTGGATTTTCACTGTTCCAAATGTGAGAATTGTGCGTATTAAAAGAACCCTCGCGCGTAAAGCAGGATTCGTCCGTAAATAAAATTGTTTCGATAAAATCCGGTTCTTGTGCCAATAACCATGTGCAAAAATTAATTCTGCATGCATAATCTTGCAGTAATAAATCTTGTACTTGGATGAAATGATAAGCATGCATCCTGTTTTCTTTTAAAATGAGTTGTACTGAACTCTTCGAGATATTTAATCTTCGGCTAATTTTGCGTATACTTGTAGATGAATCTTCTTTGCACATTTCTAAAACTGCTTCTTCATTTTCATTTGTACGGGCGTATCGTTCACGTCCGGCGCCAATATTTTTGCGTTGGGGTATTACAGATCCTGTTTCTCGTATCCGATTTATCAACCGCAAAATTACATTTTGAGTCGGAGCTCTACGCTCTGGAAACTGTAGTGAGTACTCTTGTGCGGCAAGAGTTGCATTTTGACCACATTCACCATAAATTATAAGCATATCATAATACTCAACAGGAGTATAATCCATTTTAAACTTTTAGAAAAATATTATAATTTATTGGTTAAAGAGGAGAATGTCAATTATTTATTGTTAACAAGAGAAATCAAGGAAGAACAGATGAAATAAGTGAACGAGAGGTATCGTATAAATCGTTCATATGTATAAATATTTCTCATTTTTTTTATTTTTAATTTCAGTTAAGAGGATCCTATATTTCTTTCTTATTAATTAATTATTTTAATAAAAAAATAATATTTCTTGTTAATTTAGGAATTAATATTCCTCTAAAAGTTTAAAATGGATTATACTCCTGTAGAGTATTGTAATATGCTTATTATTAGTGCCGGATGTGAACGTATAAATGAAAATGAAGAAGTAGTTTTAGAAATGTGTGAAGAAGATATATCTACTAATATACTATGTACATAAAATGAGTTAAAAATTAAATATCTCTAAGAACTCAGTACAACTCATTATAAAATAAAACAGAATGTATATATATTTATCACTTCACCCAGGGTTCTAAATTTATTATCGTAAGATTATGCACGCAGAATTAATTTTTACACATGATTATTGGCACAAGTACTGGGTTTCATTAAAACAATTTTATTTATTAGGACCTTAACTTAGTTTCCGCCCAAAAAATACTGAGAAAAAGCATTTATTGTAAAAAATTTATTTAAATTATTTCAATGAAAGTATTTTCCATCACTTTCTACAACTTTTTGCCATCTTTCTGGCAACTGGGCGATACCATCTCGATAAAACGATGTTTGTTTCGAAGCAATCCATTCGTCCACCCATTCTCGCACTTCTTCAACATTTCGGAAGCGTGTACCACTCAAGCCGTGCTGCATCGATCTGAACAAGTGGTAATCAGAAGGCGCTATGTCTGGTGAGTACGCTGGGTGAGGAAGAGT